CTTATAGTTCAGTAGTAGTTGTTCATTGGGTGCAGCGAGGTGATAACCGATCTGTGGATATTTAACGGAAGATCCTCCGCGTGGGGTCGCCCGCATGTTACTGATGCCGGTTTCCTCATTGGCTGGGATAGGGGTTGATTTAGACCCCCGGGGTAGAAACAACTCTCAGTGTCGTTGTATGGTCGACAGAAATCGGAAGAAATTTTAAATTAAGTGCCAATTTTTTTTCCACTTTAATCCTAAAAATGTTTGTTTTTGAATTAGGAAAAAGTTACTTGTTTTCTACGTGTTTTAAAGTTACTTGTTGATTTTAAATTTTTTTTTGCAATTCTCAATTAACTAAAGGATCATCCTGCAGAGGACGTGTTGAATTTCTATTTATATGTATGGATTTTATGACCGTTTATTTTTTATTTAAGCTCCCGATACACTTTTTATTATGATAACGGGGCAGGATAAAATGGGGCTAGGAAAAAATAAAATTTTAGTATCTACGTAGCAATCTAGTTAAAATTACTAAGTTGAATAATTTTTAGGCGTATGTAATACTACATAACTAGAGCCTTGCAATTATAATTACACGGGGACTCAAATGTAGTTAATTTTAAGTCGTTTTTTGTTGTAACACTCGTATGAAGCTCAAAGTAGTGTAAGTCACCTATGAAGCTCGAACTAGTTGTAAGTCATCCTACCTAATAAGGACTCCTAAAAATAGTTAAAAACACGTAATATTTTTTTATTAATTATCGTATTTATTAAGTTTAATAATAGTTTTCTTAAAAATCCGTTTTAACGTCGTAATGCATACGTCATTAGACATTCGAAAAGCTAGAAAGTGAGAAGTAAAGTGAATAAAGATCAAATTCCTTGAAATAAATTGGTACAACCCATATATAAAGATACAAAATTGAATGGAATTATCGCCGCGCCATTAACACTAAATAAGCTTATTATTTCCTTCCCCTTTCTCCCGGTACAACGAGGCAAGCGCAGTATGTGAAGTTATACAAAATGCGCACAGTTGCATTTCGCATTGCGATTGAATATGAGCTATAAATGTTGCATGTTAAAGCGGAAATTCGTAGTTCGGTAGTGATGCCGTGATGCGGTATCGAGTGGGTCTGTGTACAGTTTGCATCGGATGGGAACATTGTCATTCGGTAGCCTTGGCTCCTTTTATCGTGACGAATGTAATCTATCAGGGCTGCCATGCGGGCGCATTCATATTTTTCTACGTGTAATTGAAATTTATCGATGTGGCCCCCGCAACTGAGTGTGCAGAAAATTAAAGGGACACGACTTGTCGTATTGATATAATTATATAAATTATATAAATACATACCAATAATCTCAGTTAAAAAATAGTAATTTAAAATATTTTTGTCAATATATCTGTCTATATGAGACAGAAAGAGGTTGATAAAACATGAAAACAAAATGACATTAACATATCCATCTACGTTCAGATATTTAATTCGCTGTCTAAATGTTATATTTTCACTTAAACCAAACTTATTACCTTTCAGATTTTATCGAGTTTAATTTGTTTTCTAAACTTCTGACGTCTAGTATACTTTAAAACCCCATGGTGTAATTGATTTGTTTAATGACGTATACTGTAATAGTGCTCGTGTTAATATAAGAAATCATTTCATTGTCATTTGTATGAAAAAATTGTACCTGAATATTATTTGACCCAAATCTAATGTGAGCGTTCGGAAATTTCTCTTGACCCATTTCCTAAAGAACGACCGCATCCTGCTTTCCTTCGATTCGTTTGCGAAAAAAAAGAAAGGAGGTCAAAGACCGTGCATCTCCCGCCATTATTGGTCAGCGACAATCCGGCGGCCATTTGCATTATTGTTTAACAGGTTATGATGGAAGGAAAGAAGAACGCGCACATAATTAAAAATGATTTGTTGCATGAGGGCGAATGACCTTATTTTTAAATAGTGTGGTTTCGTCTGTCGATAGCATTCAAGGATAAAATATTTTTTCGTCGGCACCGGAGTATATGACCATTGAAGTTTAAATGTTAAATTGGTAAGATTTACCTGATTAAAATTTAGTTGCTGATGAATATAATTAAATCATAATAAAATTTCTAATTTCATAATAATGGATTCTTGTCTCTACGCGAATACTAAAATTGGTTAATATTTATTGTATAGTTTATTAGTTTTCTATTTTACGATCCCGTTATTTGCTTATTGATTTTAAAGCGAATATAGCCCGATAGCGGAAGCTAAATTTGGTGTAGAAAGATTACTCGAACTTAGCACCTGCTAATAAGAAGCCCAGCAATGCAACCGCTACCCACGCGGCCATATTGTTGCATGACACATGAATATTCATCATTAGTTGCGTGTGCAGACGCGACGGCGGCTAACAAAGTAGGTAAACGGATTACAGATCCAAGATAATCCTCTTTGACTCTGTTAGCATTGGAAATGTGATGTGATTGATAAACGTAACGTGACCACAGGTTCCTGTGTTATATTTATAACTCAATTTTTAGTCTTCGACACAATTGACATCCGTTTCCTTTTGTTTAAATTTAGGGCCGAGGTCTTTTTCCGTTTTTGCCACCGTTAGCTTCCGTTTGGCCCTTCTATCAAACCTTTGATAATGAACGATAGATCATAGAATATTTGTGATAAGATGGGAACAATGATGTAATTTGTGAAAAATAAACACTGTGTAACACGATTGTTATAAAATTAACAACGAAGAATAAGTAGTGTTTATGTAAAACGTTCTAAATTTGAAAATTTCAAATAAATATGTGACGTAATGAAATCTTTTCAAATGATTTCGCTTAGTAACGTTCAGTATGTGCAAAAATCTTAAGTCTGATGAAAATATGAAGACATGCACATTTATTATACTGCTCATCAAATATTCCGTATAACCTACTATAAACGCGCTCGAAAGTGCCTTTCTTTGTTTGCGACTTAAGATATTATCTTACGCAGCTAACATTGAGTTTGGAACAGATGACGTAAAAAGGTAATAATACAATTGCTACATAAAAAGTAACATTAAATGGTGATCTAGATAAAAATATTTTGGTAGCTAAATGAAACCGTAATATACATTAAAATGGAACCAATAACCTATACTCACTGAAGATCAGGAAAGTTTAAATGTATAGAATACAAAAGGTTCTGAAGGAAACCTTCCTTAATAACTTTGAAGTCAAATCGATGCCATTGATATAAATTTTACAACAAAGAACTGAAAGTATATGTAAATGTTTCGATTACAGCATGCAGTTTACTTGTATTCCGAGAAATAAGACTTCGGTGGATGTTTGAAAGGTGTCGTTTGTTAGTATTTTTAATGTGAAAAGTTGGCAATCGAGCAAGTGATTGACCTGTTTGGTGTTACCAGCGCCAATAGACATTTACCCCTGACCCCCTCGAGCGAGTGCTGCCAACAATTAAAAATAAGGGTCACGCTTACCTCATGCACCAGACGAAACAAAATCATACTTCCACTTCACGCCAATCTTCTGTGATGCCGCAGTACATCCCTAGACGCTGTACATTCGCCCAACCGAAGAACTTGCTGCATGACTCTATCACGGTTATAAAAAAAATTATCACTGTGAAGTGCAGTTGGGCACGCTTGCGTTGAATACTTATCATAGAGATGTTGCAAATATACTCAGTCCTTCAGAACCTTTTTTATTCTATACATGACAGTGACCTCAGTCAATCAGTAAAAGCGAATAGTGTCGAGCAAAATATAGTAGATTTTTTTATCTTAGTCTCCGTGAACAATGCATAATACTAAGCGAAATCGCTGTCAACGAGTAAATAGGTCAGTTTCTTTATACAGTTGTAATTTTCAAAATAAAAGTCAAAATTTCTTTATTCGACATAGGCTTATTTTAAGCTCTTATTGAACGTCAAAAACTACCACAGGTTCACTAAGCAAGACCTGCAAGAGAAGAACCGGCAAGAAACTTTACGGTCATATATATATATATATATATATATATATATATATATATATATATGTTGTAATGTAAATTTTATCTATGGTACTTTACATAAATATCGATAACCAATCGCACATCACTATTGCGCGGCACCGCACTGGTCGTGACCTCGGCATCCGCCCGCCGGCCGTGGGAATGGAGTCGATTCCACCGCGGCGGAGTCTCCATTCATATCTATGCAACTAGTCCTTTCGCGGTATAGGGTTCACTCTATCGATATCATATTTCGCGCACGAATTCGCTTCCAACGACGATAAAGTGAAAATGCATAACTTAGCCCTGTCTTTAAGAAAATTCTTTTGTTATGGTATCATTTAAGTTTCATATCGATAAAGTTGACGAAAATATTTTTATAACTTATTAATCTTTAGCAGAAAACTTCTTTGTTTACAATTATTTTTAACCAGATGTAAAAGCTTGAGTCTTAATGTAGTCACGCGGTAGACAGAAAGCTTACAAAATTTTGTCAAGGTCGTTAAATTATTATAAAGACTAAGATAGAAGACTATATTAAAAGTTTGTATGGGAAATTACATTAATTTCGCCTTTGCTTCATTATTTATTACAAGTCTTAGATAATGTTACGATTTTAAATTTTATATGTTTTAAAATATTCCTTACATAAGTTGGTATTATTCTTATTATATCTATATGTTTTTCACATCGTCATTGTATAGTTATGACATATTTAAAAGCTCAGGCGTTACGTCCGCCTATATACAAGAATTATGTAAAAATAAATAAATAAAAATCGCAAAGATGTACGTTATGACATTGTTCCCGAAACGTGTAATTAAAACTAATTCGAATAATGCTTTCGTACACCAAGTGTGAAGTGACGTCATCCAGGCACCAAATCACTCTTTGTTCAATATTACGCCCCTCAGCGGTGACTTTGAACTTTAGTCATGCAAACATTAACCAATTTAAATGTACACCCATCGAACTGCATTTGCCATCGTAACACGTAGCGATAAAGTCGATTCTCGAACGAATGGCATGTGCGTTTGTTGTATCGGCGATGGCAACATGCGTGGTTTGCAATATTGGCCGTAATTGTTTAATGTAGCCGACATTTTGGTGTTCGGTGGCAGGTCAGCGGTGGCCGGCAGTAAGGAGCCCCCTATTAGGACGGGCGTAATGCGGGCCCATGATCTTCGCGCCGAATCCAGCTCGAGAGGTTTGTTGTGTTACACGCGAGGTCCCTCCGGTGCGCAATTGGTCTATTGTTGTGTCACACTTGACATTTGTGTTAGGCAATTTGACAATATTTAGACTGGGGGTCAACGAACCGGGGCGCGTCCTTGATTTCGGGCATGGGATCTAGTGCGGCCAAAAGTTTTGTTGCTTTCAATGCTTCATTCTGACGAACCTTTGCCGATCTTTTAAAATCCTCATAATAGATTCTAATAGATATGCATTAGCTTGAGTGCGTGTGTGACAGAGAGTGAAAAGTTTGTACACGTGTGTGGCATCCTTAAATTTTTGCACGTGCGTTAGGATCCCTTTTGTGTTTTGAACTTTCTGTCATTATGAGGCGTCAAAATGTGAGAAAACTCCATTTATGAGTACACTTCTATAGAAATTATAAGTAGTTTTCCTTGGATGGAATGTACGGACTACTGACCGGAGCCTGTCTAGATTTCAAGTACAGAAGTACGTCTAGAAAGATCAAAGTCAAAGTATATTTATTCAATATAGGCCTAACTTAAGCTCTTATCGAACGTCAACAAAAAATCTTTCACCGGTTCACTAAACTAGAGCTGCACAGAGAAGAACCGGCAAGAAACTCTGCGGTCTTGTTCTTTTTTGATCATCAAATATTAAGGTAGTGATAAACGAAGAAGCTATTTTAATTATATAGCTTAGGAAATAATGGGTGTAACAGAAGTAAGTGATTGATGAATATTCACTTTCCTATATGAATTTCGAAAGACCTAAAAAAACGAAAAAGCTCAGATTGATTAGACTTCAAAACTTCGCAGTGTGGTCACGCGATTGTTTTGAGGGGCCCGCAACGTGGAGTTTACTCCGTAACAAATTGCCGAGGCACCTCTTATCAGGATGAAAAGCGTCCATTGAGTTGAGTTGGCGAGCGTTGTCCCTGATTGTGTCATTTGGCAAGGTTTGTGACCTCCGGCCGCCGAAATCTAGCGGTCACCGAGGTTCGTCGGTAGATTGATTGTGTGCTCCTTGCATTGGCGGAGAATCGTTTAGAAACGTGTCTTAAACACTTAGTAATAGGCATAAATACCGGAATACTGTGTGAAATTTCGGAAAGTATGCAGTTTTATAAAAACCAGTATGTTTGAAATATTTTTTGTCTTGAAGTTTAAATTATGAATATATAGTTTTTATTTATTTAGTACCTTTAACGAAGCTTTTGTGAATATGTGTATTGAAATACATTACATTCGTAATTCATTTTAAATTCCTATTAATTTTCTATAATATCATTACTCTATTTAGATTCCATGGAGTAATAAGATATAAATTTTTACAATATATCAGCACAGTTCACTTTACACTTCAGAAATTATTATAAATATTACGCTATAAAAATATGTAGCCCCTTATTTATATTGAGCGGTAAAATAAAATAATCAAAGTGCTCTTTTAAGAGAAGTATTAGTATCAAACCAGGATTTTGTTTTATCTTGCAGCGATAACAGAGTACGTTCTCACAGCAGCTAGCATATTAGTCGAAACAATGAGTCTGCATGCCCTGTTTATAACAGAATAGCCTAAGCTATGTTCCCAAACGGCTATCTAGATAACGTCCCGGGCACGGGTCAATGCCAGGCAGTCCTGGCGGGGTTCCTTGGTGCCGTAGTGAATGACCCCAAGGATCAAAACACGCGGAGTGGCCGCACAATACGACTTGCGGCTCCGATGCGCAGTAATGTAACCATCTCCGTATCTCGAGTGACAGGTGTTTGAAAATGGAACTCGGGGGAATTTGATTTATCGTTTTTATAACGCCGTTAATAACGAGCAGTGTCGTAAAGTTGAAGATATTAAAGATAAAATAAAATTGTATTAGCGTAGTTATATTAAAATCTTTAATGAATAATTCGTTTCATAAAATTGTTAATTATCTTAAGCGTAATTTGCTTGGCCAGTTTAGGTGGAACGTTACGAATTAATAGATTGTTAAATATAAATTACAAATTTAAATTATAATTCTATAGGATAATTTGTATGCACGGCCCGAAATGTAAGCTTTTGTTTTGAAACTGAACAGTAGTGGTTATTTCCCGATAGTTTATAAAACGTCAACAGAACCTATTAATGCAAATTTGTTGTTTATACCGACTTAAATGATGTTTACTTACCATCAATTGTCAGTTACAGTTATAGAGTGTCAATGAATTGAGCCCATCTTCATGACGCGAATAAAAGCGATCTTATTGCATGTAAGATATCCTCCTGATTCGACGGGTGGAAGTTTAGAGGATTTATAAACGGTCATTCTTCTTTGCTATGCTGTCAAGCTTATACTTTGCCTATAATTACGAACATAACGAAGTTTTTGTTAAGAACTCAGAAATAAGAAAGAATGATTATCGATTATTGATTAAATATCAACTCCTAATTTATGAGAGCGAGTCGTCCCAATCAGGCCATCACTAACTCTAACACTCATGTCTCACTCTCAGGATTGACATATGTACGTCTCAGAATAAATAATATATTTACCACATTTGAACCATATTGTTTATTTCTTAAAAGTCAACATTGCCGTATAAATCGTTTGTGAAGGTTTAATATTGTGACAAATGTTTTGGTGTGATTAAAATCACGTGTCGTCATGAATGGTTACCCTACGCGCGTACGCAAAGCTGATCTAAGTGTGCGTGGCGACGTTATGTCTCACAGTGACAGCTAAACGCATTCCCGCCAAGTGTGCGCTGATAAAAAGGTGCGCGATTCAGAACGCCAAAATTCCACAGATTAAAATATAGTTTTTGCGCGCCACATCGGTGCTGAGTGAAGTAAAATTATTTTACTTATATAAATATTTTTATGTATTTATCATATTTTTACTGGTTTCCCTTCAGCTGATGTTATTCGTGAGGAGTGGTATTTATTGTTCATAAGATCTTATAAAAATATTCATTGCACTAAGAAGAAATAATTAAAATTATTTTATTACTTATTAAAAAAATAATAAACACCATATAAGCAATCTTTTCCCAATCAAGAGCAATGTCTTAGCAACAAGAATTTGCCATGTATGCATTTTGTATTATTGTGCCGTAAGCAATCGGGTTGAAGCACTGTAATAAGCCCTAACATATATAGAGATGTGGTAGAAAATGACCGAGTTAATTTTAGATTTAACTTTGACCCGCCGATATCAGAGTTGCGACTGATAAACTGTAAAATCGAGGAGCCAATTGACGGCAAAAGCAGCAAAAAATCAAATGCAGTGTCATTAACATTCGCCAACCACGCTTAGTGGCTGTTACGTAAGTTATTGATTATCTCAACTTAGCCAAACCCATCCCTACAGAAGAAAGTATTATCCCTAAAATTGGTGATGTAGTGCAGTATTAGTTCTTTATTTATAAAATTAAAAATGACATATTACAAATTAATAGTTTCATTGTTAATAAGTAAATATATACAAACTAAACCGAATGACTTGTTGATGTTTGTATGTATATAAATAGTCATTTCTTTTGTAATGACGATTTTAAATTATTAAATTCCTTTTTGTGGCATCCAAAATGTAAGTTTATACTTTATTTTATATTGTTTTAGCTATTCGTAACCGGATATAGTTTTTTCTTATATGCAAGCATAAAATGACAGTTCTATCTTCGTTCATATCTTATTTGTAATTTTTCATAGCAGTCTGCTGAAATTTGGATATACTTGCCACATGGACACAGCATGTATTTTATGATATTAGATGTCACTATGGGTTTACTCTGAGGGAAGTAAAATAAGTTAGTATTTTTTGTTAAATAGACAAGAAGTTGAAAGCATCCGTTTATGTATTTTATAACTATGTTATACAATGTCATTATCACTACATAGTATAAATCAAAGTCGTCCCGCTGTCTGTCTGTCCCTATGTATGCTTAGATCTTTAAAACTACGCAATCTCGATCAAAATACGGATCTTGATGCGGTTTTACTAGATAGAGTGATTCACGACGATGGTTTATATGTTTAATACATGCACCCGTGCGGGACGGGTTGCCAGTATTCCTTATAAATGTAATGTATGTATTAATTTTGTATAAATACGAATAAAGTCAAAATCGTTATACAATGAGATAATCACTAATACGAAAAAATATTGGCACTTCTAACACATACTAACGTAACTGTTAAACACTTTCCTAGATTTGGACTGCTGGAGACATATGTCATACGCATCAGATCCCAATATGAAGCAACACCATCTCGACCTTCGCAACAAAATCCGCCGACCAACAAACTAAAATACCTCTGTTCGCGATTTCGGAAAACAGGCTAGAGCACAACATAATACAGCTGCGAGACGAGCGCAGATAAGTGAAAAATGTAAACCCATAAAAAAAAAGTTCTCCAGATAACTCGCGAAGATATTATTAATAACTACAATTAAAAGACTCAGATAAAACGGAAAGAGTGCCTGCGCTTGGCGGCGTAAAGTGACGCAACATCGCACTTATGGCGTTGGCTCGTAAGGTCGAGAGTGGCGCGGACGGCGGACGGTCGGCCACAATGATTCAATCTCCTCTGTGGCGAACGTAAACCCACGCGTTTAGCTCCGCTACGGGCCGGCCCATCTCCCGAACGCATCAGTTCGCCGGCGGCGGTTAACAAGCGCGCGCGTTAGATACCCCCGCATTTAGGATGAATGCCGGCGACGCGCTGGCTTTGGAAACACGACGCACGGGACCCTGAACGCGGTGAAATGTGTGCTTTTCCCCCGTAAGGTTCCTCAGGGAGGAACAGCCGGTTCCCTTTGTCCGGGCGGCCACGGTCGGTATAATGCATTTTTATTTTTTCGTTTTGTACCTTTTATAATCGAAGGTGCCGTTAAGTTAGTAAGTCTGACGAGAATAAAACCTTATTCGTTCAACAAAATCTCATTTCGAAATCAATAACTATCTCATCAAATTTATTAAAAATAGTTAAAATTATCATACACATATCTAAAATTTCAATACTTGATAAATTTAAATTATAATTTCGGAAGAAATTTAAATATTTACAATTACTTAAATATTTACAATTATTCCGCAGGTCTTAAAGGAAAATCATAACTATTTTGATTAATTTAGGTCATGCATCACAAGGAAGTGTTGTTTCTGCCATTATTGCAACAGTGCGCATGAGTTTTTTCAATTTAGTTAAAGAGTTCGGACGACCGACGTCACTCTGTTGCATTACATTGGGAGCATTATTGCTAAATTTTTTCTTGACGCTTTTTTGTCTATGATGGAATGTGGCAAATGAGCCGGCGGTTCACCTGATGTTGCGTGTCGCTCGTGGACATCTGAAACACCTGTAGGGTTGCAAATCCACTGCCATCCTTGCCACCCTACGGGTGTTGCAAATGGCCGTGGGCGGCGGTTATCACTTAACATCAGGTGGACCGCCAGGTCCTTTGCCACTTTCGCACATAAAAAATACATAAAAACAAAAATCGTGGGGCGACGCAGTCCTATAACATTTAAATTAAACTATTTATATTTAGGTTGCTTGATAGCGATAAGCCAGCGCTAGCTTTTAATAGCCTTACCTGTCCGGTTTAAAAAAGAATCATACTAGCAGAAATATGAGGATGTTGCCTAGTAAAGCAACTCGACTAGTAAGCCTCACTCGCCCTTCGAAGACACCAAAGTTAAATTTGTACGAAAAGGCAAAAACGAAACAGTAGAAAATTGGCTGTTTCTTCTTTTCCAGCAGAATGACTCGTTTAAAATTAATCAGACAGTACCTAGCCGATAGTTTTCCAGCCTTATGAGGAAACTGATCGTCAATCAAATGATATTAATTGAAAAAATAGCTGGGACTTGATTGTCGGGACATGAATTGTGTAGGTAATGAACTATTCTGCAAGCTTCACTGAGTGATATGAGTTAAAGCGTATCTTAGATTTTACATAAGGCAATATAACTTAGCATTGTCTCATTGAAAGATTTATATCAGTTATAATTTTATATCAGATAGAAAATAAATATATTTCTAATAATTTTCGTGCTTTGTGGAACTCTGTCGGGAAGGTCTAGCTATACGGCCTCGAATAGGCTGAAATGATGATGATGTTGAAATGATATGTAAAATCACTAGCAGTAAATGTAATGTTCGCAGAAAGCTAATGTTATAAGCAAAGAAAGCAGTTTATCTTGTTAGGTCAATCGGTTATTGCATTGCAGACTAAACACTGGAAACATATTTCTAGTTGCGAGTCTCCGTTTTTTAAATGTCTTCTTGCCGCAGATAACCACCTTGAAGAGATGTTTGCCCAACTGTGGGAATGTGGTTTAAACAAACCACCTTTCGCAGTTTAAACCACAGAATAAGAAGGTATACCGATGAGCATGTCTTAAAAAGCCGTGACCCCAAAGAGAACCAACGGTATAATTTAATTGCGTCTGGTCAGTGAGGTAACCGGGGTCCACTCTTCTCACCGAGGCTCACTCTCTACCAAATCGTTAGTTTTTTTTGTTTCCGCACCCAAAGGGTAACCTATTACTAAGACTCCGTTGTCTCTTTATCCGTCTTGCACCAGATTTTATCTCATGAACTGACATTGTAAGAAAGTCTAATTTAAAATATGTTTCTACATATTTTAATGTTCAATCTTAAGTGCAAAGATTAGCACTATAAACAATTTAAATTTCTTAAAAAAAAAAAAAGCAATGGCGACATCTCTCGTTCGAATTATCGTTGTAAAACGATATTCGAAATTGTTTGTATGCTGGAAAGGA